ATTGACCAGAAACTTTAGGGGCTTGCTTGAAACGATTAATTATCATGTGTGCACATTTGGCTAGGATTTACTCTCCAATAAACTAAAATGTTCTCCTCTTAAGTTACACGTCCTTAGTTCGAAACCCGTTCGTGGGGTTAACAGCACTTAATTTTGCTAGGATCTGCCATCCTTTACTTCAGTTCGTCATTGACAACTCCACTACCAGTTCAATACAATATCATTTCAAACTGATGCACCTCCAAATCAATATGGTTTATTATGTTAACTTATTAGTACGGGATGTCCGTTTATCATTATATTACCCTGCTGTTTGGTTATTTCTCCCCCTATGCGTTTTGTTCCTTCTTCTCCTCACTTTTATTTCCGCTCTCTCTTATAATTACTTAGGCAGGAGCAACTGGTTCATCTTTCTCATCGCTTTACACACAAAGCTCATCTTCGCCAGGTGTGGCTAAATGACATGACGCAGGTAGCCGAACGCATTCTCAAGGCCTGGCGCACCACTACTACGAGTTCGTCGCCACAGTCACTATCAAACGTAGGAACAGTAGTGCTCAACACTGCGTCGATTCCCAACGCTACAGACCCTAATGGGGCAGCTCAGCGTCACTACCGTACGGCAAAAATGGTGGAAGCCTTCACTGTTGAAGTTATGAGCAAGGTACGCCGGAGTGAGATTTAACTAAATACAATTTATTTTAAACTAGGCTAAAGATATATTTTAGGGATGATATATTGTGACATGACTTTCCATTTTTAAAGAAAAATTTGGTTGGAAGGAATTCGTGTTGTGGTCTCACCGGAAACCGAAGGTGGATTGCCGCGTAGTGAAGACTGCTCTATTATGCGAAGAAGTCCTGGGCTCACTATCTGGCGAGCCCGATGAACTTGTGCTACTGTGACAGGCATCATCAGAGCAAGACTCCAGAGTCGCAGGACGGTGAGCCGAGAACTTCTTTCCTACGCTGCAATCATCCTTCTCTTTCCGTTAAGACCATATCACGAATTTATTCCAGCCAACTTTTCCTTCGGAATCGAAAATCATGTCACAATATATCAGTAAGGAATTCTTCGAAACCCAGTTTTTCCTCATATATTTTAGGAATACCTTCTCAAGATTGTAATATCTATTCTTTAAGCTATAAATAACATTAGTATAAATGCCAAATAAAACATACTATTACTATACAAAGGTAGATTACTAATTCCTGAATTTAGCCATACAAACTTTGTTTTGGGCTTACGTATGGGCTCATACCAGAATTTTATAGCCTTAGTAGGTTAAAATGAATTTTAATCTTTCTTCTAAGCATAATATTGCTGAAATTAAACCTATCCATTTTTTTTCAGTATTGCTCTACAAGTAATGCCATTAATTTAAAGAAGCGCTGACGTGCATAGTGTATTTTTCCAAGGTCATTTTATCAAATGCATCGAGCAATATACACTTGAGATAAATTTATGTAAAGGTGGACAGAACTAAAGCATTTATAATAATATATAAGAGTGACCAAAATATCGAGGCTGCTACCGCTTTCAAAGCAATGAATTTGTCTATCTTATCCTTATAAGTAATATGGCAATCAGAATAAACATACTTTATTTGCAACGTAAAAAATATGAATTTTCTGAAAGTTTTATAATTTCATAATTCGATCGAAGCTATGGAGACCAAAATAGGGAGGCCTTTTGTGTGGTCGCAGTCTCCTTTCGTTGTATAGAAGGTGTTTGACCTTGTTTTCGCAAATTGATCTTATTGGTAGAAAGACTTAGAGGAACGAACCTAGTCCGGAGTCCATTGTATGCATGAGAATTTCCAAAATCGGACCATGAACATGGTACATTTTCAGAGATTTCGCCGGCATTATCAGTGAGTCTTGCCATTCTTAGCACCATACTACAACTCGTCAAACAGACAAGTGAAACAGATCCTTTGACCAAATGTCTGCTGAACAGTTGTGGTATCTCTCCTTCTGTCATGGGTTATTCACCTCCCATATCCTCGTATCAGGCCTTCACTATAACAATTTTTCCCTTTTTCATTTAAATGAAGTGTTGTGTGCCCTTTTGAGCGGCTTTTACGAGAACCCTCCACAATCCATGCTGGCGTTCTCATCACCCTTCACCATTGTGCTGGGAATGCTGCCATATTGTTACGCAGTCCTCCTTCCTTAGGTCTTATCAGAGTCTCCCTCTTGCCCCGTAGGATCCGTCTGCAATCACCCTGGTTAAAGAAGTTCACTCGACCCCTGCCACTCCATTTGTGCTACTCCAGGCATTATTTTCCACACACCACATCTGGGAGACTAACTTGAGGCTAAAAACCCCGAGTAATTCTCATTGTCAAGCCTTTGCTTAATAAACCATGTCTATGTTAAAGCAGGCCTACTGTCAGTCAACTAGCTCCAGTCTCCGCCACGTCTATCCTGTTTCTAATCCTATTAGCTGGTCTATGACTTACCATGCCCTAGTCTCTTGTGTGCCAACCCACAAATGAAGTAGTACTACTTGCTTTAATTAGGTTCAATTTAAACTACAACGCTTGTGGCTTGGCACACAAGAGACTAG